ACTCAAAGTGATTCCACTAAAATCAGGAACAAGACAAGGCTGTCCACTCTCTCCTTATTTATTCAATATAGCACTTAAAGTTCCAGCTAGAGCAATAAGACAACAAAAAGAGATAAAGTCGATAGAAATTTGAAAGAAAGAAGTCAAATGTTAGCTATTTGCAGATGATATGATTGTATACATAAGTGGCCCCAAAATTTCTGCCATGGAACTCCTACAACTCATAAACTCTTCATCAATGTGGCAGGATACAAGATTAACTAAAAAAAAAAAAAAAAAAAACAGTAGCCCTCCTATATACAAATGAAAAATGGGCTGAGAAAGAAATCAGAGAAACATCACCCTTTACAATAGCCACAAGTAATATACAACACCTTGTGGTAACTCTAACTAAGCAAGTGAAAGGCCTGTATGATAAGAACTTTAAGTCTCCAAGGATAGAAATTGAAGACGATATCAGAAAATGGAAAGATCTCTCATGCTCATGGATAGGTAGAATTAACATAGTAAAATGGCAATCTTACCAAAAGCAATCCATAGATTCAATGCAATCCCCATCAAAATACGAACACAGTTCTTCACAGACTTGGAAAGAACAATACTTAACTTCATATGGAAAAACAAAAAACCCAGAATAGCTAAAACAATCCTGTACAATAAAGCAACTTCTTGAGGCATCACCATCCCTGACTTCAAGCTCTACTATAGAGCTATTTAACAAAAACAGCTTGGTACCGGCATAAAATCCGACATGTGCACCAATGGAATCAAAATGAAGACCTGACATTAATCTGCATACTTATGAATACCTGGTTTTTGACAGAGAAGCCAAAACTGTACAATGGAGAAAAGAAAGCATCTTCAACAAATGCTGTTGGCATAACTGGATGTCAACATGTAGAAGATTGCAAATAGATCCATATCTGTCACCATGTACAAAACTCAAGCCAAAGTGGATCAAAGACCTCAACATAAATCCAGTTACACTGAACCTGATAGAAGAGAAAATAGGAAGTAGCCTTGAACGAATTGGCACAGGAGACCACTTCCTAAATATAACACCAGTAGCACAGACACTGAGAGCTACAATTAATAAATGGGACCTCTTGAAACTAAGAAGCTTTTGTAGGGCAAAACACACAGTTAATAAAACAAAAAGACTGCCTACAGAATGGAAAAAGATCTTCACCAACCCCACATCTGACAGAGGGCTGATCTACAAAATATATAAATAATTCAAAAAACTAGACATCAAAATACCAAACAATCCAAGTAAAAAGTGGGCTACAGAGCTAAACAGAGAATTCTCAACAGAAGAATCTTAAATGGCTGAAAGACATTTAAGGAATTGCTCCACATCCTTAGTCATCAGGGAGATGCAAATCAAAAGAACTTTGAGATACCATCTTACACCTGTCAGAATGGCTAAGATCAAAAACACAGAAGATAGGTTATGTTGGAGAGGATGTGGAGCAAGGAGAACACTCCTCCACTGTTGGTGGGAGTGCAAACTTGTACAGCCACTCTGGAAATCAGTATGGTGGTATCTCAGAAAATTGGGAATCAACCTACCTCAAGACCCAGCTATACCACTCTTTGGCATATACCCAAGGAATGCTCAATCATACCACAACGACACATGTTCAACTATTTTCATAGCAGCATTATCCATAATAGCTAGAACCTGGAAACAACCTGGATGCCCTCAACTGAAATATGGATAAAGAAAATGTGGCACATATACAGAATGGAGTAATACTCATCAGTTAAAAAAAAAACAACAATGATATCATGAAAATTACATGCAAATGGCTGGAAATAGAAAATATCATCCTGAGTGAGGTAACCCAGACTCAGAAGGACAAATATTGTGTGTACTCACTCATAAGTAGATACTAGATGTAAAGCAAAGAATAGCCAGACAATAGCCCACAGCTCCGGAGAAGCTAACTAACAGGGAGGACCCTAAGAGGGAAACATGTAGCACAGCACAGGAAAAATAGATGAGATCTACATGAGAAAACTGGGGGATGAGGGGGTAAATGGAGGGCAAGGAATGGGGAATGAGAACATAAGGAAATGGGAGGTTCGAGCTAGAACAGGGACAGAGTGGAAGAGCAAGGAAAGAGATACCATGATAAATGAAGACATCACGGGAATAAGGAGAAACAGAGTGCTAGGGAAGTTCCCAGGAATCCATA